AGTGAGGGTTGCTGGAGTGGTGGGGGGTGGGAGGGATGGGGTGGCTGGGTGATAGACATTGGGGAGGATTTGTGCTATGGTGAACACTGTGAATTGTGTAAGAATGTTGAATCACAGACCTGTACCTCTGAAACAAATAATACATTATGTGTTAAAAAAAAAAAAGAAGATTGTAGGAAGGGAAAATTGAAGGGTGGGACATTGGAGGGGGAGACGAGCCATGAGAGACTATGGACTCTGAGAAACAAACAGAGGGTTCTAGAGGGGAGGGGGTTGGGGGGATGGGTTAGCCTGGTGATGGGTATTAAAGAGGGCACATATTGAATGGAATACTGGGTGTTATATGCAAACAATGAATCATGGATCACCACATCAAAAATTAATGATATAATGTATGGTGATTAACAAAACATAATAATAAAAAAAAAGAACTACCCTATGATCCAATAATTACACTACTGGGTATTTATCCAAAGAATACAAAAACACTAATTCAAAGGGATACATGGACCCTTACGTTTATAGCAGCATTATTACAAGAGCAAAACTGTGGAACCAGCCCAAGTGTCCCTCAATAGATGCATGGATAAAGAAGATATGGTATATATGTGGGGTACATATGATGAAATATAATCATCCATATAAAAGAATGAAATCTTGCCATTTGCAATGATCTGTATAGAGCTAGAAAGTATTATCCTAAATGAAATAAGTCAGAGAAAGACAAAGACCATATGATTTCACTCATATGTAGAATTTAAGAAACAAAACAATCCAGCAAAGGGGAAAAGAGAGAGATAGAGAAACCAAGTAACAGTCTCTTAACTATAGGGAATAAACTGATGGTTACCAGAGGGGAGGTAGGTGCTGGAATGGATAAAATAGGTGATGGGGATTAAGGAGTACATTTGTTCTGATGAGCACCAAGTGTTGTATGTAAGTGTTGAATCACTACATTGTACGCCTGAAACTAATATAACTATATTAACTAATATAACTTTATATTAACTATTTTGGAATTAAAATAAAAGCCTAATAAATAAAAGAATACTTTATTGCTTAAAAATGTTAACAATCATCTGAGATTTCAGCAAGTCATAATCCTTATGCTGGAGGAGTGTCTGGCCTTATTGTTAATGGCTGCTAACTGATCAGGGTAGTGGCTGCTGAAGGTTGGGCTAGCTATGGCAATTTCTTAAAATAAGACAATAATGAAGTTTGCTGCATTGACTGACTTCTCCTTTCACATGCCATTTCTGTTTAACATGCAATGCTGTTTGATGGCATTTTACCCACAGTAGAACTTTCAAAATTGGAGTTGATACTCTCAAATCCTGCCACTGCTTTATCAACTAAGTGTAAATAATATTCAGAATCCTTTGTTGTCATTTCAACAGTCTTTATAGCATCTTAACTAGGAGTAGATTCAATCTCAAGAAACCACTTTCTTTGCTCATCCATAAGAAGCAACTCCTCATCTGTGAAGTTTTCTCATGAGATTGCAGCAATCTAGTCACTTCTAATTCTATTAAGAAGCTAAGGATATACCTCAGTACTGACCTTCACTTTCATCCAAGGAAGAAGTATAAAAAACTGTTCTTTCCCGCAGCAAGCGTTTTGAAATTGTGATTGGTTTGTGCCTTCTTGCTGTCACTCGAGGTGGAGGCACTGGGGGTGTGGCACTTTCCTCAGGTGGACCTGAATAGATCTGTAAAAGGAGAATATTTTCAGGAAACAATTAGAAAGATTGAGTTTTTGTCTCCCTAATGCTAACTACCAGTTGATGCCTACCAGCACTACATCTAGAGTCTGACAGAGCAATTCTAATATGACTAAAGGAATTGGGATTTTTAAAATCACTCTAGTTACCAGCAAGTGTTTAGAAGTCTCCTATCATGTTTAAGACACAGGACCTGGCACTTCACAGTATGGAGGAAAGAATGCAGACAAAAACTGCACAATCAGTTCTGGATTTCCACTTACTGCCTGGAAAACCTTAGGCAAGTCACCTATCTCTGAGCTTTAGATTCCTCATCTGTAATATGGGGAGAGCACCATGTACCTCACAGGGTGTGATGAGAATCAAGTAAAAAGGGTAGTCAAGGTACCTACTGTATGGGTAGGGGTGGGGTGTGGAGGGTTACTAAAATGCACCCAATATTTCTGAAAGGATACTAAAGAAATTGGTTAAATTGTTTGCTTCAAGACAGGAATAATGAGTGGCTGAGGAAAGGATGGAGGAAACATTTCTCACTCCTTTATCATTTTGATCTTTTAAAATTTCATACCATGTAGCATTACTTAGTCAAAAAAGAAAGGGCGAAAACAAAATGTTTTATACATTGTAAAAAGTGCTGGACAAATGAGGGAGAAGCTATCATTACAAAATTTTTTTAAGCAGGGTCCATGCTCAGCACAGAGCCCAACATGGGGCTTGAACTCACGACCCTGAGATCAAGACCCAAACCGAGATCAAGAGTCAGATGCCTAACTGACTGAGCCAACCAGGCACTCCTAATGATTACAATTTTTATATAGTGTCATATGTATTGGAAAATCTTTCTTGTCTCTGGGGGAGACTGAGCTTTTGGCCAGAGTGCACACATTTTGGGAGGACACACACATGGTGAGGGAAGAAGGGGACAATTGTGTAGTGCAAAAATGAAATCAACCCCGATGATTAGTGCAAAGAGAAATGCCAGAGACCAGTATCAGGCTGCAAGGTCACAAAAATTACATGACTGGGAACACAAGGAAACCTTGTGTAAAAGCTGAACAATGATAGAAAGCAGGGCATGTCTCAATGTTTCATGGCATAGGAAAGAGAGAATATGACATAGTAGCAAGCAGATAAACTTTGAGGCCATAGAGTTTCACAACCTATAGTAATAATATTCTAAATAACTACCACTTTGTGAGCATATGTTTATGCACTATAGGAGTTAAGAATATCCCTTGCCATTTATCAAACACACCAGGGCCTATGCACTGAGTGTTTCATCTACCTGGAGTGCTCTTCCTCCAGATATCCATATAGCTTGCTCTCTTAATTTCAGTAGGCTATGATCAAATTTATTCCTCTCAGTGAGTCTTCCAGGTGAATGTATCTAAAATTTTTATATACCTCCCTGTATGCAATGCCTCCTATCTCCCTTCCTTTTTTTTCTCCTTAGCATTTCTTATTACTTCCTAACAAGATATATTGTAATTATTTATTTTTTTGTTTTTGTGTCTGCCACTCTAATCTATTGTAAGGTATATGGAAGTACATTATCATGTTCACTGCTATATCTCCAGCAACTAGAAGACTGACTGGAATTGCTGGGTCAAAGAAAAACACATTTAAAATACTGAAATAAAAGGCCAAACTGTCCTCTGAAAAGATTATAATAGCTACTTCCACTTCTAGCCAAGATAGGACTAAAGGTATTAGGTTTAAATCTTCTGCAAGTAATAATTTAAAAACTAGAAAAAAATACACATAACAATGGGTTTCAAGGCAATGGAAATCTGGTAATGAAAGACGGTGATCCACGAGAGACAGGAAAAAGAAATGAGGTGAGCCTCATGATATTCCCAGCGTACAGTGTGGAGAGAGTCTGCAAGCCATAGTATATGGAGGGAAGCTCAGGGGGAGCCCATCAGTCTGCTTAAGTTGAAGATACTGAGTTGCAAGTATGGAGATGGCAAGAAAGATAATTTTTCAGGGCAAAATATCAGAGAGAAGATAGCTGCACAAAGGGCTCTGGAGAACTGCAGGGGGGTCCTCTTTAACACTTTAGCTGATTAATACTTACGTGTGAGGAAAGAACCACAAAATTGAATTAAAGGGATTAATTACCTAAGATCATACAGTGCCTAGAAGAGTTCTTGTTTTACCAGCCACAGTGGAAAATCAAATAATTAAGTGCTGTGGGTGGTGGGCACTGCACATGTGGAGCATGCAGGCAGCTGGCTAGCTCCAGCAGAAGGCTGAGTTGCGACTTGGGTGTCATCTTTCTTTTGTCTTAAAGTGGGTGTTTATCAGTATAAAATTCCCTCTTAAAACTGCTTTGCTGCATCCCATAAGGTTGATACACTGTTTTTCCATTTTCATTTGTTTCAAAATAATTCTTTATTTCCCTTTTGATTTCTTCCTTGACCCACTAGTTGTTCAAGAGTGGGTTGTTTAACTACCACATATTTGTGAATTTCCAGTTTTCCTCCTGTTATTAATGCCTAGTTTCATATCATTCTGGTCAGAAAAGATACTTGGTATGATTTCAATCTTCACACATTTGCTAAGGCTTGTTTTGTGACCTAGCATATGATCTACGTTTTAGGAAGTTCCATGTGCACTTGAGAAGAATGTTGGATGCAGTGTTCTATAAATGTCTGTTAGGTTCATTTGGTCTGAGGTTTAGTTCAAGTCCAATATTTCTTTATTGATTCTCTGTCTGGATGGTCTATATGCATTGTTGAATGTGGGGTATCAAATTCCCCTACTATTATTTTTTGTTGTCTATTTCTCCTTTCAGATCTTAATTTATTTACTTAATATATTTTAGTGCTCTAATGTTGGGTGCATACATACTTACAATTGTTACATCCTCTTGAAAAATAGACTACTTTATCATTATATAATGACCTTCTTTGTCTCTTGTTACAGTCTTTGGCTTAAAGTTTACTTTGTCTCATATAAGTAAGCAATCCCTGCTTTCTTTTGGTTTCCATTTGCATGGTATTATCTTTTTCCATCCCTTTATTTTGAGCCTATGTGTGCCCTTAAAGCTGAGGTGAGTTGCTCTTAGGCAGCATATTACTGGGTCTTATTTTTAATCTATTTGGCATTCTATGCCTTTTGATTGAAAATTTTAATACATTTACATTTACATAATTATTGATAGGTAAAGATTTACTAATTCTATCTTAATTGTTTTCTGGCTCTTTTGTAATTCTACTGTTCCTTTCCTCTTCTCTTGCTGTCTTCTAGTGAAGTGATCATTTCTGTACTGGTATGTTTTGATTCCTTTCTCTTTATCTTTTGTGTATCTACTTTAAGTTTTTCCTTTGTGGTTACCATGAGGCTTTCATAAACAAAAATATCTTTTAAGCTGATAACAACTTACCTTTGAACACACACAAAACCTCTACCATTTTACACCTCTTCCTATATTTTGTTTTTGATGTCAAAATTTACCTTTTTATATTGTGTACCTATTAAAAAATTATTGTACCTAGTTTTTTTTTTAACACTTTTGTATTTTAACATTGATACTAGGGTTACATAGTTAACATACTACCATATTACAGTATTAGAGTATTCTGAATTTGAGTGTATACTTACCTTTACTAGTAGATTTTACATTTTCATATATTTTTATATTACTAATTAGTGGCACTTCATTTCAGCTTGAAGAATTCCTTTCAGTATTTCCTGTAAAGCAGGTCTAGAGTTGATGAACTCCCACAGCTTTTGTTTGTTTGGTAAAGTCTTTATCTCTCCTTCATTTCTGAAAGATGACTTTTCTTTTTTTTTTAACCTTTTTAAAATTTTATTTAAATTCAATTAGCCAACATACAGTATATCATTTGTGTCAGATGTAGTATTCAATCATTCATCAGTTGTGTATAACACCCAGTGCTCATCATATCATGTGCCCTCCTTAATGCCCATCACTCAATTAGCCCATTCTCCCACCCACCTCCTCTCCAGCAACCCTCCATCTATTTCTTATAGTTAAGAGTCTCTCATGGTTTTTCTCCCTCTCTGATGACTTCCCATTCATTTTTTCCTCCCTTACCCTATGATCCTCTGCCCTGTTTCTTATATTTCACATGAGTGAAACCATGTGATAACTGTCTTCTCTGATTGTCTTATTTTGCTCAGCATAATACCCTCCAGTTACATCCATGTCGATATAAATGGTAGGTATTCATCCTTCTTGATGGCTGAGTAATATTCCATTATATATATAAACCACATCTTCTTTTTTATTTAAATTCAATTAGACAACATATAGTACATCATTAGTTTTAGATGTAGTGCTAGAAAATTCATCAGTTGTGTATAACACCAAATGCTCATCCCATCACATGCCCTCCTTAAGGCCCATCCCCCCAGTTGCCCCATCCCCACCCCCACTTCCCCTTCCACAACCCTCAGTTTGTTTCCCAGAGGCAAGAGTCTCTCATGGTTTCTCTCCCTCTCTGATTTACTCCCATTCAGTTTTCCCTTCCTTCCCTTATGATCCTCTGCACTATTTCTTATATTCCACATATAAGTGAAACCATATTACAATTATCTTTCTCTGATTGACTTATTTTACTTAGCATAATTCCCACCAGTTCCATCCACATTGTTGTAAATGGTAGGTATTCATCCTTTCTGATGGCTGAGTAATATCCCATTGTATATATGAACCACATCTTTTTTTATTTGTATTTTGTTTTATTATTTTTATTATGTTCATTTAGCCGAATATATAACATCATTAGCACATCTTCTTACTCCATTTATCTATGGGAAGGACATCTTGGCTCCTTCCACAATTTGGCTATTGTGGACATTGCTGCTATGAACATTGGGGTGTAGGTGCCCCTTTGGATCACTACATCTGTATCTTTGGGGTAAATACCTAGTAGTGCAATTGTTGGGTCATAGGGTAACTCTATTTTTAACTTCTTGAGGAACCTCCATACTGTTTTCCAGAGTGGCTGTAGCAACTT